TTTTCAGCCGCTTTTTTGTTAGAACTGGCAGCCTCGCCATGCTTTACCACACTGTGTATGCCACTGCGCTTCTTAAATCTCTCAAACCAGCCTTTGCTGGCCTTACAATCACAAACATCAGCACTTGCTGCAGGCATTTTCTTCACAAGATTGTCATGCAACTGCCTTGCCTTTTCACAAATTATTGACTGCATAACACTATCTCCTGCTAACTGTTTTTGGGTAATCCACACCAACAATAACCTCTCCACTTCTTCGAGGATTTGCGATCTCTTTTTTGACAGCATAGCTACCCTTTTGCAACAACAGCTTCCTTGATTTCCTTTCCCTTTGCCACGATCGAAGTGATGGTTGAATGGTGTTTGCCATACATCCTGGCAAGCTCTGAAGCACGCACTCCACTTTCACATTTTTCAATTTCTTTCTTTCTTTAATTCAATCGTGCTTCTCACTTTCTTTACCAAAGGGCTGGCACTAGCTTTCTTTGGGCCCATGGTGACTTATTTAGCAGTTGGAGGCATAAAAAATAATGGAATATTACGAAATATATCATATGAATGCATGCGATGATGGTCACACACTGATAATTAATGGCACACTGAATGTGAATGGTGCAGGAGACTGGCTATGTGTGCGCCCTGACACTGGGATGCCACTTGGACGCGTACCAGACGGTCGCCGAATCACGAGGCCAATCACGAACCATAAGGCTATGTTTCGACAAAAAGCTGCCGAAAGTCAGATTTCACGAAAGTCGCGGCCGCCAAAATGCAGGGGTCCACTGGAATTGTATAAATAATGTTAACCCATTCATGGCTGCATATTGGAATGGACAGTGACATCATTTGTTTACTCTTGAACATCGCCAAAGAACTGAACATTTCTGCTACTTTGAAGTGAACTCCATTATTTATGGTCTGATTTCTTTCATTTTTGGTGTACGTTACAAAGCATCTTTTCATCATACAATGCCCAAGTTTCAATAAGATAGTCCAACAAACAAATGAGACCCAATTCCCTATATCAAGAGCAAGAGCCCCTTACCAGCGCTAACCCTTTGACTGTTTTGGTCGTATATATATACGTCTTTGGAGCCAATGTGTTTGACGTACATACACAAAAATTTTAACACCTTCAAATCAAGCAGGAGAAAGCTGGTAGGCCCACATGTGAGAGAATGGGTCTGTGTGGTCAGTGTGCACAGTATAAAAAAAATCCTGCAGCACATAGTGCATGAGGAAAAAAAAACTCCGTGTTTTTTGGATTAAAACGCCGACTTTGAGGTGTATTTTCGTATAGTATTTATGGTTGTATTTTTGTTTTCTTGGTCTCATTTGATAGAATGGAAAACATTATAGAAATAGAAGTTATTTTGATTGATTTTACTATGAAAAGGGTCTTAAACGGAGCTCAAAGTGGCAGAAATGTTCGATTTTTGCTGATATTTTTTATTTTTATTATCACACTGGCCGATTCCCACCAAGGCAGGGTGGCCCGAAAAAGAAAAACTTTCACCATCATTCACTCCATCACTGTCTTGCCAGAAGGGTGCTTTACATTACAGTTTTTAAACTGCAACATTAACACCCCTCCTTCAGAGTGCAGGCACTGTACTTCCCATCTCCAGGACTCAAGTCCGGCCTGCCGGTTTCCCTGAATCCCTTCATAAATGTTACTTTGCTCACACTCCAACAGCACGTCAAGTATTAAAAACCATTTGTCTCCATTCACTCCTATCAAACACGCTCATGCATGCCTGCTGGAAGTCCAAGCCCCTCGCACACAAAACCTCCTTCACCCCCTCCCTCCAACCTTTCCTAGGCCGACCCCTACCCCGCCTTCCTTCCACTACAGACTGATACACTCTTGAAGTCATTCTGTTTCGCTCCATTCTCTCTACATGTCCGAACCACCTCAACAACCCTTCCTCAGCCCTCTGGACAACACTTTTGGTAATCCCGCACCTTCTCCTAACTTCCAAACTACGAATTCTCTGCATTATATTCACACAACACATTGCCCTCAGACATGACATCTCCACTGCCTCCAGCCTTCTCATCGCTGCAACATTCATCACCCATGCTTCACACCCATATAAGAGCATTGGTAAAACTATACTCTCATACATTCCCCTCTTTGCCTCCAAGGACAAAGTTCTTTGTCTCCACAGACTCCTAAGTGCACCACTCACCCTTTTCCCCTCATCAATTCTATGATTCACCTCATCTTTCATAGACCCATCCGCTGAAACGTCCAATCCCAAATATCTGAATACATTCACCTCCTCCATACTCTCTCCCTCCAATATGATATCCAATCTTTCATCACCTAAGCTTTTTGTTATCCTCATAACCTTACTCTTTCCTGTATTCACTTTTAATTTTCTTCTTTTGCACACCCTACCAAATTCATCCACCAATCTCTGCAACTTCTCTTCAGAATCTCCCAAGAGCACAGTGTCATCAGCAAAGAGCAACTGTGACAACTCCCACTTTATGTGTGATTCTTTATCTTTTAACTCCACGCCTCTTGCCAAGACCCTCGCATTTACTTCTCTTACAACCCCATCTATAAATATATTAAACAACCACGGTGACATCACACATCCTTGTCTAAGGCCTACTTTTACTGGGAAATAATTTCCCTCTTTCCTACATACTCTAACTTGAGCCTCACTATCCTCGTAAAAACTCTTCACTGCTTTCAGTAACCTACCTCCTACACCATACACCTGCAACATCTGCCACATTGCCCCCCTATCCACCCTGTCATACGCCTTTTCCAAATCCATAAATGCCACAAAGACCTCTTTAGCCTTATCTAAATACTGTTCACTTACATGTTTCACTGTAAACACCTGGTCCACACACCCCCTACCTTTCCTAAATCCTCCTTGTTCATCTGCTATCCTATTCTCCATCTTACTCTTAATTCTTTCTATAATAACTCTACCATACACTTTACCAGGTATACTCAACAGACTTATCCCCCTATAATTTTTGCACTCTCTTTTATCCCCTTTGCCTTTATACAAAGGAACTATGCATGCTCTCTGCCAATCCCTAGGTACCTTACCCTCTTCCATACATTTATTAAATAATTGCACCATCCACTCCAAAACTATATCCCCACCTGCTTTTAACATTTCTATCTTTATCCCATCAATCCCGGCTGCTTTACCCCCTTTCATTTTACCTACTGCCTCACGAACTTCCCCCACACTCACAACTGGTTCTTCCTCACTCCTACAATGTTATCCCTCCTTGCCCTATACACGAAATCACAGCTTCCCTAACTTCAACAACATTTAACAATTCCTCAAAATATTCCCTCCATCTTCCCAATACCTCTGACTCTCCATTTAATAACTCTCCTCTCCTATTTTTAACTGACAAATCCATTTGTTCTCTAGGCTTTCTTAACTTGTTAATTTCACTCCAAAACTTTTTCTTATTTTCAACAAAATTTGTTGATAACATCTCACCCACTCTCTCATTTGCTCTCTTTTTACATTGCTTCACCACTCTCTTAACCTCTCTCTTTTTCTCCATATACTCTTCCCTCCTTGCATGACTTCTACTTTGTAAAAACTTCTCGTATGCTAACTTTTTCTCCCTTACTACTCTCTTTACATCATCATTCCACCAATCGCTCCTCTTCCCTCCCGCACTGATGTTCAAGAGTAAACAAATGGCGTCGTTGTCCAATAAATGTCCAACTAGCCATTCTAATACGCAGTCATGAATGGGTTGATGTAATTTATACAATTATTACAATATTGCAGTAGTCTGCATAACAGTAAATCTTCTATGTATTGTGTGAATAAAAATTCAAAATAGAAAGCAAGAGTATTATAACAGGGACCTGGAGATGTGACTGATGAACAGAGAAAGTGTTATTTTAGTGCCAGGGATGTCTGCATTGTTCATTGTGGACCCTGTTTTGAAATTTACGTATTTTTTAATATTCATGAAATTGGCCAAATTGCTAATTTCTGACCACTTTATTGGGTAGTTGAAATCGGTATATGGGCGGTTTTGCATACTCAATCAATAGAACAAATAGAGTTCTAAAGAAATAGCTATGAGTTTGGTGGACTGGAGCAATGGAATTGGCTGAAAATAGGGCTCAAAGTGGGCGGAATCGCTGATGCATAAATGTCACCTAGGTCGCTAACTTCGCGAGAGCATAATTCCATAAGTTTTCCACCAAATTTCGTACTTTTGGTGTCATTATCATTGGGAAAAGATTCTCTATCATTTCTTAAGAAAAAAATAATTTTTTTTTTTCAAATATTTTGCGATGCCAGGAGACACTTCAGGATTTGGGGTTGTGACAGTCAAAGGGTTAAGGAGCCTCCCTTGAGGCCCGCTCGCTTATGGATTTAGCTCGTGTATGGAAGCAAAAAATCGACTGAGCAACTGCTCGTATTTGAAAAAACTCACACGTAGATGCGCTCAAAAGTGGAGGTTCCACTGTATTTGTTTTTTCAACATTAAAGGTGAGTTTGTTGGTAGTCATCCATGTATAGACCTTTTTACATTCATTAGTCTCTATGGTGTTGAGTTTTCTTTGTATGTGGTGATATGGCACATGTGTGTTGGATTTACATATATTTTGGAAGAAACTGGTTTTGAAATATGGATTTTCTAACCTTTTTTGGAATAGGCAAATAAGATAGTTTTTCTATTTTTCTCAGCTGTTTTGGGATCAAATGAATTTATGTTTAGTGTCCAAAAAACAGTAATGTTTTCTATCCAACTACAGTAGCTAATAATAAATTGTATCAAAAAATTTATTCTCTTAACTAGTTTAGCTGAAGTAAAATTATATAATGTATAATTTAAACTTTATAGTAACAAATATAAGAAGTTGCTTTACTGTAAGGTAGCAATTGCAATATTGGTACATGTCGTGATATAAATAAATTACAAGTTTAATAAGTAATAATGGTTAAAAATATTTATTAAGTGATTGCATATAATTAATGTGGTGCCTACCTGAGGGTCCAGCCCAGAGACAACACTGAGCATAGTAGCAACATCATCAACATAGCGACCGAACAGCCCAGGTACATCTAAGGAGTTAACTAAGCTGATGAGTCCAAACCGTGACACTAACCCATACGAGGGTTTCAAACCGACGACCCCACAGTAGGATGATGGGTTGCGCACAGACCCTCCAGTGTCAGACCCTAATGCCCTGTTGAAAGCAACATATGGAAAAGACTTGTCACTCATAACAGATACAGGTTATAGTGCAATAATTTAAGATAAAAACCTTAATTTAATGGACTGTGATTGAACATATTTTGGAAACAATGGACAAAGTTTGTTAAATCCAGAAATGTTTATTAACTGTTATGGTCACAATTCACCCACCATTGTTTATTATAAGACACTACTAAACTTCACCCACCATTGTTTATCACAAGAAACCACTAAACTTCACCTATCACAGTCCACCACTGCTGTACACTTCCCCACACACCAATACTCATCACAACTCACCACCAAACTCACCAACTACCAGTGCTCATCACAACATACCACCACATTTCACCACCACCACCCACCACTACTCACCACCACACTTCACCAAGTATCAATGCTCACCACAACACACCACCACACTTCACCAAGCATCAATGCTCACCACAACACACCACCACACTTCACCAAGCATCAATGCTCACCACAACACACCACCACACTTCACCAAGCATCAATGTTCACCCCAACACGTCACCACACTTCACCAAACATCAATGCCCAACACAACACACCACCACACTTCACCAAGCACCAATGCTTACCACAACACACCACCACACTTCCCCACCCCCTAATAATTATGTGCCAGCACTAACAGCCTGATTGATCAGGATTAGGTACCCCTCTGGCAGATCTGCATACTAACAGTTACTAAAATTCATTTAGAAGTCAAATGAAACTCAACATAAATAGCTACAGTTTATTTCATCCAGGAGGGTAATTATACAATTATTTTATTACAAAAATAAATTTATTTAATTATTATGCAAGTGAGTAAATGTGATTTAACCCGTAAACGGTCCAAACGTATATATACGTTCACTACCGTACTGCCCCAACGTTTTTGAGAAAAAAAAATTGTTGTTTTTTAATAGGAAAAAAGAGCATATGGTACCCAGGCATCCCCAATTATTTTAATATGGTGCACAGTGAGTGCTCACACCCATTCTCACATGTCTAGGTGACTCAGGCTTATTGTGGCAATGTTAAATGTAGGACACATAAAACGTACATATACGTTTGGGGCACTAGCGGTAAAACCGTATATATACGTTTGGACCGTTTACGGGTTAATATCGACTGTCAGAAATATCAATGCATACAGTGTGTGTTTATTTTCCTCAGAATGCTGCTGAACAAATTTCTTTTTTTCAATACACCAGCTATCTCCCACTGAGGTAGGATGAGTCCCCAAAAAACAAGAAACACTTTCACCAACATTCACTCCACAGTCTTACCAGAGGTGTGCCGACATTTCAGCTTAGATGCCTTGCCAAACTCCAATGTCCCCACCCCTTCTTCAGAATGCAGGCACTGTACTTCACACCTCCAGGACTCAAGTCCGGCTTACCGTTTTCCCAAAATCTCTTCATAAATGTTACCTTGCTCACACTCCAACAGCACAAGTCATAAAAACTGCTTGCTTCCACTTACTCCTCTCTAACATTCTCACACATGCTTGTTGGATGTCCAAGCCTCTTGCATATGAAACCCATGATGGAAGTTGTCCATTCAAAGCTACAAGGTATCCACCACTTAGAGAAGTGTCAGTGTGATACAGAGATCACACTACCACCAGAAAAAACAATGTCTGAGAGCAAGAGGGACTACATGAGGAGAAGCGACTCTATAACGGAATTCACTGAAAGTAATCGATGTAAGTCATTAATGTCTATCAACAGTCAGGATCGTCTCTCTTATCAGATATCGAAAATACTATGAAAGAACAAAACTAAATGAGAAGTTGAAGGCCACACGAGTGAGCAGTGAAAGGTCAATTAACTCAAGTTCTTGGGGACTTGATGTGATATACCACCTACCTAAGTTGTATAGCCATCTATACCCTCTCCAGGTATACTCCAGGTATGGAATACATACCTGGTATCACATTCATGGCACAATATCACTATTCATCTACAGTAATGAAATGCAGCTACATATTTAACATAGTGGACAAATTTATTTATGTTAATACATTTTGCAAAATTGAGGCATATTTTCCATGTACATGCCATAAAAATGGTTTACAAGGTGGAGTACATGAAGGGAATAAATACAAGGTTCTGAAGCTTGGGAGTGCCCATAACCCTAGTACTTATAAGTTAAATGATGTAGAACTTAGCCATACAGATTGCGAAAAGGACTTGGGGGTTATGGTGAGCAGCAACCTTAAACCAAGACAGCAATGCCTAAGCGTACGTAATAAGGCAAATAGATTACTGGGATTTATATCAAGAAGTGTAAGCAACAGAAGTCCAGAGGTCATACTGCAGCTTTATACATCATTAGTAAGGCCTCATCTAGATTATGCAGCTCAGTTCTGGTCTCCATATTACAGAATGGACATAAATTCGTTAGAAAACATTCAGCGTAGGATGACTAAATTAATACATAGCATTAGAAATCTTCCTTATGAAGAAAGATTGAAGACTCTTAAGTTACATTCACTTGTTAGACGAAGAATGAGGGGAGACCTGATCGAAGTGTATAAGTGGAAGATAGGTATTAATAAAGGGGATATTAATAAGGTCTTGAGGATGTCTCTTCAAGAGAGAACCCGCAGTAATGGATTTAAATTAGATAAGTTTAGATTTAGAAAGGACATAGGAAAGTATTGGTTTGGAAATAGGGTAGTAGATGAGTGGAACAGTCTACCTAGTTGGGTTATTGAGGCTGGGACTTTGGGTAGTTTCAAATTTAGGTTGGATAAGTACATGAGTGGGAGGGTTGGATTTGAGTGGGACTTTCACATCAGAGCTTATTTCTTGGGTGGCATTGAAAATTGGGTTGGGCAAATGTTTTGTTAGTGTGATGAATTGTAAAGGACCTGCCTAGTATGGGCCAACAGGCCCCCTGCAGTGTTCCTTTTTCTTATTTTCTTAGTTTATATGTGGACATACGCGTTTTCCCCGAGTCACTGTCTTATGGGATAGAGGGTGGGAGTGATCTAGCTAGTGGGTATGAAGGTGTAAGCTAGCAGATGGAAGCAGGTGAGCTAGTGGGTGGGTGGGAATGGGTGATCTGGAGAGGAGCAAATGAGTACTGGGTGGGGAGTGGGTGAGCTAGGGGGTGGGAAAACAAGTAGCAGGGGGGAAAAGGGGTGAGCAGGGGGTGGGAATGGGTGATCTAGTGGATGGGGAAAGGGGGAGAAAGCAACTAGGGGTGGGAGGGGTTAGTGGATAGAATTTGCGACTAGTGGGCAATGGGTGAGCTAATGGGTGGAAGGGGGGGAGTTAGTAAGTGGGAGATGTGAACTAGTAAAAGAATGGGTGAAGAAGGGTGAGTGAACCCTTAGAATGGGTGTGAGTGACCCCGGGTTTTTGATGCTGTCACTGAAAACCCATGTTCCCTTCACTTACGTACATCCCATGTGGCACTGTATGTATGGTAGAGGGGCATGGTGGGGTGGTAAAGGCAGGGGGGTTAGGATAGGGGGAGAGGTATGCAGATGAGGGTGAGTGTTTGGGAGAGAGAGGTGGGGCAAGTTTTGAGGGGTGGGGCCGGGGGAAAGACAATGGGGGTAAAGCTGAGAGGAAATATGGGCGAAGGGCAACTGGGGGGAAAGGGGGGAAGGGTTGCGTCCACAGCCTTTAAATGTATGGGCGGGGGCTGAGGGCATGTGGTGATGGTAGGGGTAAGGTGGTTGAAGGATGGGTAAAATGGGTGATGGCTAAAATTTTGGGGCAAAAGGGTGTAAAAAAAAAAATGGAAGGGGAAAAAAAAAAAAATGAAAAAAAAAAATAGGTGGTGGCATTGGAGATAGTGGGTAAAAGGTTAGGTCCCTGGCGTGAGGTTATGAAGAGGTTTCGGGCCTTGTTTCAATGTCTAATACCTCACCTTGTGCTTGTTCATACATATCCTGTACTAGCCTAGCCACATGCCTCGCCCACCAAAAGTTCATTTAATCTCCCCTCCTCCAATGGCCAAGCCTCGCTACACATCCAGCAATCACCCCCCCCGCCCCCAAACCCCCCCCTACTACCCAAACCCCCAAAGGTCAAGCCCCTTTACCCCCACCCTTGCAACAGAACCTCAGCCTCCAGGGAGGTTGCTGGTTTGGAGGGAAAAGTTAGCAGTTGTGGCCAATTTTTGCACGGGGAAAATTTCACCACCTTTAGTCCTTTTTTTTTTTAAACCAAATTCTATTGCTCCATTTAACTAAATTATTGTTTTTTTTTTCTTATGCTTTTTATTCTTTGACTGCCCCAAGAAACTGCCCATTAACTCTTTTAATGTTCTATGAAGTGCACGAAGTCAGAAATTTCCACGTTAAAAAAAAAACCACAAAAAAATTGTAACATTCCTGGACAAAAAAAATCCCTTATTATTACTCGTTTTTCCCGGCCTCTCCTTTTATACTTGCCCTTCCCTTCTCAATTTAATCACCAAAAATAAAAGAGTTACAGTCTTATTTTTTTGGATAATAAAATATAACCAGGAATAATTGGTTATGGTTTGCCATGTCCCAATAATTGAATCAGACCTAATAAAAACCACAAAACAGACTGGGATGTGTAGGAAAGCCTTAGGGGAGGTGTAACCAGTTTGGGTCGATTTTTTTTTCTCGTTTGATTTCTTTCATTTTTAGGTGTACATGAAGATGTGTTCATGAAGTTTATTCTCTGTAAGTTTCAATAACATAGCCCAAAAAATGCTGAATTTTTTTTTTCCAACAAACCGGCCATATCCCACCAAGGCAGGGTGGCTCAAAAAGAAAAACGAAAGTTTCTCTTTTTAAATTTAGTAATTTATACAGGAGAATGGGTTACTAGCCCCTTGCTTCCGGCATTTTAGTCACCTCTTACGACACGCATGGCTTACGGAGGAAGAATTCTGTTCTACTTCCCCATGGAGAAAAAAAAAATATATATACACGTATACTGAAAATTACATTTGGCACGAAGATGTAAATTAGTGGCATTATGAAAG